GTGTTATTTGCTTGTATAATGTTAATTGAGTGGTCATCAGGAGATTTGAATTAAAAGCAAAATTTAAAAATCCATCCAAAACTAGACTGTCCTTTAATTGATGCTGTACCATCACATGTGCGATTTCCTTTGAAATGAGGTGACTATATAGTACATTTTTAATCCTGAGGGATTAAAAATGTGTTATTTGTGTAACACACATACACATGTGTACACATATGTGTTTATATATATAATTTAAGAGTTTTACTATTAGTATTGAGGATTGAACCTATGGGTGCTTCACCATTAAACCACATTCCCATCCCTTTTTAATTTTTATTTTGAGGGCTGGGCTTGTATCTCGGTGGTGGAGCACTTGCCTTGCACCTGTAAGATGACTGGGTTTGATCATCAGCACTACACAAAAATAAATAAATAAATACAGAAGGAAGGAAGGAAGGAAGGAAAGAAAGAAAGAAAAAGAAAGAAAGACATTATGCCGATAAAGAAAGATATTGTGTCCATCTTCAACTAAATTTTTTTTTATTTTTAAATTTTGAGACATGATCTTGCTTGAACTTGTGATCTTCCTTCCAGAGTTGCATGTACCATCATACCTGCCTCAGAGTTACTCTTTTAAAATTACTAATATATGTGCATATAACATTTCTGTATTTAATATTGTTTCGGTAGTGTCTTTCAGGTTTTTAATACCTAAACGTCATTGTTGTGTACTTCTCAATATATTTGCACAGTATTTTCATTTGTAATTCAACATACTGTGAAAATCAGTCATTTTATATACAGTGTAGTAATTTTTAGTATAAAGTTGTCTTCCCTCRGGCAAAGTTTCACTTTGTTCTTTTTCCCATTCTGCAGTTTCAGTTACTCACAATCAACTGTGGTAAATTGGACATTCCAGAAATAAACAGTATATGAGTTTTCTTCTTTGTTTCCGTAGGCTCCTTATCCCCTGCCTCTCCCCATACCCCTTCTTTTGAATCCCCCCCCCCCCCCCCCCCCCCCCCCCCCCCCCCCCCCCCCCCCGTACTGAACTGGGCACCTAGACTCTGAGCCACATCCCTATTTTGTATTTTAGTTAGAGACAGGGTCTCATGGAGTTGCTAAGTTGTTAAGGCTGACTTTGAACTTGTGATCCTCCTGTCTCAGCCTCCTGAGCTGCTGGGATTATAGGGTATGCCATCATGTCTTCGGCTCCCCGCCACACGCAAACTTTTTTTTTTTTTTTGCAGTATGGGGATTGAGTTCAGGAGCATTCACTGAATTACATTTACCGATCTTTTTACTTTTTATTGTAAGACAGGGTCTTGTTAAATTCCCCAGGCTAGTCTTGAATTTGTAATCCCCTGCTTCTGGATTTGCTGGGATTACAGGCATGCATCCTTGAACTGGGCTCATAAATTTTAAATTGTGCCCCATTCTGAGTTATGTGATCAAATAATTGTCCATCCTGTTCCATCCTGCATGGAACTTGAATCATCCCTTTGTCCAGTGTATCCATGCTGTAAATACTACCTTCCCATTAGTCACTTGATAGCAGTCTGGATTATCAGATATCAGTGTTTATTTTCAACCAACTCTGAGAGAGTAGGCATGTCATAGTGCCTACATCATTCATCTATCTCATTTCATCTCATCAAGTGGACATTGTATATCTTTCTTTATCACAAGAAGGTGGGTGTATAGTACAATAAGATAAAATGAGAAGAGACCACATTCATATAATTTATTATAGTTACAGTTTTATTGATAGTTGTTGATCTCTTGCTGTGCCTAATTATAAATTAAACTATCATAGGTATGTAAATATAGGAAAAAGTATACTAATATAGGGTTCAGCGCCATCCATATTTTTAGGCATCCACTGAGGGTCTTCAAAAGTATCCTCTGCTGATAAGGGGGAACTGCTGTATTCACAGTTGTACATATCCATTAGTAAATTCTTTCCTGATTCTCCCTCATGCTCTTGCTCTAGTCTTGGGCAGCCACTAATCTGTTTTCTTTCCCTGGGGTTTTCAAATGTATACCCATTTTCAGCAAAAGAGACTGGAGATAATTTTGTCTATTTGTAAACAGGCCTATAAATTGTTTGGTGATCAAGAAAGAGGCAATGTTTTTGGGCTGGAGTAGTGGCTCAGTGATAGAGTGCCTGCCTACCATGTGCAAGGCACTGGGTTTGATTCTCAGCACCTCACATACGTAAGCAAATAAATAAATAAATTGACAACTAAAAAATATTTAAAAAAAAAAGAGGCAATGTTTTAGTTTTTGCTTTTGTTTTGAGAGATAAGGAGGGAAGGAGAGGCAGGAAAACAAAGAGTCTGATTTTGAACCTGTAGAGAAGGAACTTTAATTCTAAAATCTTTTGACATTTTGAAAGAGTGTTTTCYGAAGTTTTAACACCTGATTCTTTCCTCCCTCCCCCTTTTTTTCATACTGAGAATTGAACCCATAGGGTGCTTTTCCACTGAGCTACATCCCCAGTCCTTTTTATTTTTTATTTTTGAGACAGGGTCTTACTAAGCTTCTGAAGTGCTCACTAGGTTGCTGAAGCTGGCCTCAAACTTATGATCTCCTGCCTTAGCCTGCTGAGTCACTGGGCTTGAAGTTGTGTTCCATCATGTCTGGCAACACCTGATATTCTTTCTGTCTAGGTTTATTTCCTGAGCATTTATCAGTTGCTATTTCTTATATCCAGAGTAATTTTAATTATTTTCCCCATTTTCATTTTAATATTTTCCATGTGAAATTGTAGAGGGTCTAAATTACATTTTTTTTCTTTTTTAGAACAATATGGAAGTTTTTTTCTTTTTTAGAACAATATGGAAGTTATTCATTGTTTGTGTTCTAGCTTAGATAAGAGATACTGTTTCCTATGGAATGGAGTCTGATCTTAGGAGTTAGGTTTAATAGTTCATCAGGGGAAAAGATTATGTCCCACACAAAATTCCTTAAATCACTCATAAATTATAGACATACTTCCTCTTGGTATTATTATCAGTGCCATTTCTTTCCTTATAGCATTGTGCAAGATTGTCCTTTCACTGGTTGAACATAAGATAAATTGCCTCTGGGCAATATTTTATAAAAYGCATATTAACATTTAAAAAAAATATGGTGTGTGCTCCCCTCCCCCCATGCTAGTTTATGCATTTAAAAAAAACTGCTCTTACTTTTGGAATTCTGAAGTTTGATCAGGATGTATCTTTTCCTCCTTCTCCCATTACATCTTTGGTATCAGATGGGCTCATTGAATCTTAGAATTCATATTTTTAGTTCACAGAAGTTTTATTTTAGTCTTCTACTTCTTCATTATTCCCATTTGGGGTGCCATATAGTGTGTGTGCATGTGTGTATATATTTAAGAGGTGTTGATGGACATAATACCTTTATTTTATTTATTTTTATGTGTTGTTAAAAGATTGAATTCAAAGTTTCACACATGTTAGGCAAGTGCTCTACCACTGAGCTACAACATCAGCCCCTTGGGGACCTTGGAGATTGCTGTAAGACCTATAGTTTAATCTTCATGTCACTCAAATTATTATTTTTTTTTTTTTTAAAGAAAGAGTGAGAGAGGAGAGAAAGAGAGAACTTTTATTATTTATTTTTTAGTTCTCCGCGGACACAACATTTTTGTTGGTATGTGGTGCTGAGGATCGAACCCGGGATGCACGCATGCCAGACGAGCGCGCTACCGCTTGAGCCACATCCCCAGCCCCCACTCAAATTATTGTTTCTAGTTTTTTGTATTTTTTTAATTGATCAAGAATGTTTCCATTATTTTACCCCAAAAGTTTTTATTTTGGCAGTCATTTTCTTGTTTCCAAATATTTTTTTTCTCATGACCTCATGCAATTAATGTTATTTTTTTTTTGTGTGTAACCTCAGATTTAACTTAACACATTTCTTAGAAGTTTCTTTATTGTAAATTACCCGTTTTCTTCTTGAGTGGTTTTCTGTTTGTTTACTTTGAACCTTCTCTTCCATGGAATTAATTTATTTTAGAAACATGGAATATTGTTATAAATAATTGTGCTCATATTATTAATATCAGGTACTGTTTATCTATACCTACTATATTTTCTTTGCAGTTATGTAGGTAGTTCGGTAATTTTGTTTCTGTCTTGGCCAACTCTGGGCAAGGTTTATCAAGAAGTGATGTTCTTGTGTTCAGGAGTCCGGAATACTAAGATTTCTTTAAGGAGTCCTTTAAAGACTCAGKGTGGAGCATACTACTTTCTTTAATTCCTTGGTAGAATTATCTATGTTATAATTTCTTTTCCCTCTGTGTCTGTTTTTAAGGTCTAGAATTTCCTCAGACTTGACTCTACTTCCTAAAATATGATTCACTTTCATTTTAAGAACAACAAATTTCTGCCTTTAGCCTAAGAACAGAAATTGTCATTGCCAATTGTTAAGGTTTTTTTAATATATATTTTTTAGTTATAGGTGGACACAACTACCTTTAGTTGTTATTTTTATGTAGTACTGAGTATCGAACCCAGTGCCTCATGTTGGCGAGGCAAGCGCTCTACCACTGAATGACAACCCCAGCCCCTGTTTAGTTTTGATAAGTTTTTACATAGTTCTCCTTAAGACTTAGTAAGTTCTTAAGTGTTAACTATGCTTATTATTATTATTACAGATATATATGATCATCCTCTTGTGTGATTTATTGTAAGAGTGATTAATAAGATAGGGAATGTAATGTATTTCTTGGGTTTGGTTTGAAGAACTGTTTTTGTTCATCCTAAATTTTATTTTACTCCATTTGGAAATGTTTTTGTTTATTTTGTTCATTTGCATAATTTGGCTTGAAAATTAGAGCTCCTTGGGGAATAGGGAAGGATACAAAGAAGTATGAATGAAGAATGTGAGGGCTGGGGATAATAGCTGAGCTGGCCCTGGGTTCAATCCCCAGCACCAAAAAAAAAAAAAAAAAAAAAGATTATGAGAATAACGTTACTTTTCTCTTTCCTTTTTTGCTTTTTCAGTTTGAACAGAAAAGTGGTGCAGTTTTTGATGAAATTGTAGAGAACTGTAAGTACCATTTGAAAAAAAAATCTTTAGACAGATGAAAGTCTAGACAAAGCATTTAGCATTAGAGTGGTTAGTGCTAATTTATGTGATGAACCAGTTATATTTAATCTAGATCTCATCACATCCTTTCRGTACTTTTAGCCGATTAATTTGAATAATAAGAGTCTTGCTTTTTATTTTCCAAGAAATATTTTACTCTCAAGTTATTTATGTGTTGAAATATAATAACACTTTGTGCTAGTGTGAATTATATAGAAAAGTATATTTATTATTTTAAAGGTTTCTACTTTTTTTACAGCATCTTTCAATGTTCTCTTTAGAATCTTTGTGCTATAGTATTTTAAAGAATTCTTTTTATGATTATAAAAGTAATACATTCAACTTATAGTATAGAAATCAATAAAGTAGAAAGTAAAAACCTTTGTCATTACCATTCGCTAAAGATAACTGGCTTTAAGAGTTTAATATATATCTTTCCAGACTTTTTTCTATGAATATATATGTATATATACACACACGTGCGGGCATACACACACATATAGTATATGGGAATTTTTTTATATGTGCAGGAATTGTATGAATGCCATTCTTGCCTTTTTTTCTTTCAACTGCAAAGAAATCTTTCTGTGTCAATGGATATAATCCTTTTGCATTCTTTTAAATGGCCACTTAATATTTTATTCTTTGGCTATATTGTAATTGAACCAGCTTCCTCTTTTATACATATGTAAATTATTTTCAGTTTTTCATTATTATAAACAATACTGGGTAAGTTTTCCTCTACATGTCTTTGTATACTTGTTAAGGTGTTTTTGTAGGATAAATTCTAAGAATAGAATTGATAAATCATTAAAGGATGTGTTTGCGTTTGTTTATGGAGTGTAACTTTTGTCAATTAGAATTCTTCAGCGGAATGTACCTTTCCTTTCCTTTTTTTTTTTTTTTAAGTTTTCATCTACCAGAAGAATCTATGAGTACCTTGTTTCTTTTTGGAATTTGCTAATATTTTTGAATGTTTACATTTTTTTTAAGTTAGTCTTAATTTTTTGTTATTTGATATCGATAGTTTAATTCTTCTCTTCAGTGGATTTAATTATTGTTGCTGGCAACAAAGTAGGTTAGCTAGTTTATCTAGAAGAAACACTTTGATGTAAATTTGGTAGTCCATAGAATTTAGAGTGGAGGTAAAAAAAAACAAATTTCCTCCAGTGTACTCAACAAAAGATATCAGCCTATCCTGTCAGAGAACAGTTATATACCAATGACTTTTAGTCTTTCTGTTTAATTTGTTTTTAATTTCAAGTTCCTAGAAGAAACATTATTGATTGGACCTCGCTGATTCTGATGGTCATCTTTGAACCAATTATGTATCGGGAAAACAGTCAAATGTTAAAGCAGAGCTTTTAGGACACRTTCCTCTGCCACTATTTCTTATTTTCATTAATTTTTTGTTTTGTTTTGTTTTTGTTGGATTGGCATTTGAACCTAGAATCTTATGCTTGCTAGGCAAGTACTCTACCATGAGCCATATCCCCAGCCTTCACCAAATAATTTTTTTAAAATATTTTTTTTTGTAAATGAACACGATACATTTAATTAATTAATTAATTAATTTTATGTGGTGCTGAGGATTGAACGCTAGGCAAGTGCTTTACCACTGAGCTGCAGCCCCAGTACTTACCAAATAATTTTTGAATACCTGCTCTAGACATGTCTACGCTTAAGTTTGTATATTGGTAATGGAAATGAACCAAAATTTCCGATGAAGGTTTTAATCTGATGCTCTATTTTTTAGTTTTTGCAATAAGAACAATCTTAAAAGTGGCAACAGGAATTTATCTTAACAGCTGTAATCAGGGCTATAGCTCAGTGGCAGAGCACTTGCCTAGCATGTGTGAGGCACTTTGTTCAATCCTGAGCACCACGTAAAAATAAACAAATAAAGGCATTCTGTCCATTTACCATTACAAAAAAGTTTGTTTGTTTTTTTTTTTAAAGCTATAATCAAGCGGCTATAACTAGAGTCTTATACTTAAYATTTATGTTTATTTAATTTTTGGTACCAGGGATTGAACTGAGGTGTGCTTAACCACTGATCCACATTCCCAGCGTTTAAAAAACAACAACAACAATAAACAGCAGCCAGGGTGTTTAGAGACTCCTTAAGTTGCTGAGGCTAGCTTTGAATTAGCAGTCCTCTTGCCTCATCCTTCCAAGCTGCTGGGATTACAGGTGTGTTGTGCTACTGTGCCTGGCTAATAGGGCTTTTTCTTTCTTTTTTTTTTTTTTTTTTTGTTTTAGAGAGAGAGAGAGAGAGGTGGGGAGAGAGAGAGAGAGAGAGAGAGAGAGAGAATTTTTTTTTTTTTTTTTTTTTTTTTAGTTTTTTCGGCAGACACAACATCTTTGTTTGTATGTGGTGCTGAGGATCGAACCCGGGCTGCATGCATGCCAGGTGAGCATGCTACCGCTTGAGCCACATCCCCAGCCCTAATAGGGCTTTTTTACCCCACTCTCTCAGGACATTGTTAAGCTAGAGAAGGGCTAAGGATGTAGCTTAGTGATAAGAGTTCTTGGCCCTGGGTTTGATTCCTAGCACTGCAACAAAACAAAACAGAACAAAAAGAACAAAACTGGAGATGTACAAGCAGTTTTATACCAAATATCAGATATAAATAGTAYAGTGTTTCCCTTTTTCTCTCCGTTTCTGGTAGTTTGCCATTAAAAGGATATTGGAAGGGGCTGGGATTGTGGCTCAGCGGTAAAGTGATTGCCTAGTATGAGCGGGACCCGGGTTCGATTCTCAGCACCATATAAAAATAAAGGCATTGTGTTGTATCTATCTACCTAAAWTTTTTTTTTTTTTAAAAAAGGATATTGGAAGCAGAGAAGTGACTCGTTTTAAGGGAACACTTAAGCCTCTCTCCATGAAGATTTAGAAACATTATCCAGGATTGGTAAGGGCATACTGCTATCTAATAATATTCAGGATACCAAAGATGGTTTCAAGGCCTAACACTTTGTCTTGGGATAGATGTCTAGAAAGAAAAGAGATTTATCATATTCTAAATTGACTTTCCAGAGATACAGTATGTTTAATGAATGGGATTTAAAAGAAAAAAGGCTAAAACATTTTTTAAAAAATATTTATTTTTTAGTTTTAGTTGGACACAATACCTTTATTTTATTTATTTATTCTTATGTGGTGCTGAGGATCAAACTCAGGGCCTCGCACATGCTAGGCAAGCATTCTACCACTGAGCCACAACCCCAGTCCAAGGCTCAACATTTTATGGGTATGAAGAGAAGGTGTGGTTGCCCATCTTGTTCATTTTTCAGGAGAATGTGTGCTGTGGGTTTTTTGTAAGATTGGCAATAGAGAAAGTGACTGATAACTGTGAATCATTCATRTTCCCCCATCTGTTAATAGTTTATTCGAAGTGTGAAAGAAGTTCAAACAGTATAAAGAGATTATTTAACGTATTCACGTAGCTATTTTCTTAAAGACTTTTCATTAAATGACTCTGCAATAACCAACTGGTCATCCAGCAATAGTTAGTTAATTTTGTTTGTTTTTCAGTGCTGGAGATTGACCTGGGACTTCAATCACTGAGCTACATCCTTTTTATTTTTTGAAATAGTCTCAGTGGGTTGTTGAGGCAACTTTTTGCCCTCCTGCCTCAGCCTCCCTAGTTGCTGGGATTACAGTTGTGCCCAGCTTAGCAATGTTTAATTTTCTAAAGATAGAGCAAGTTTATTGAATATAATAAACTTGACAACTTCAAAGGAAAAGTAAAAGCATTATTGATTTGTTCTTGAAGATGTTGTTTGGATGAAAAAATCTATTTTGATTACTCGCAGTGTACTAGTTTGTGGAAAAACCTTACATGTATTATTCTTTAAAATGTCTGATATTTATTATTTTTGGATATTAAGCTSAACTATATAATAGAAGCATGATAGAAATTTATTTCTCATAATCAAGAAGCCTCGATTATAATATGGGTTTGTAGTTTTCAGGAATCCAGGGGCCTTCAGCTTTCTGTATCACAACCTTAGTGCATGGCTTCCATTTTCGAGATATCTTGGTGTTCTGGGATGGATGATGTTCCCTGGGGAGGAAGGAAAAAAAAAAAAACACACACACTTCTTAACACAATTAGGACTTTTTTTAAAATGGAAATTCTACCTGTGTGATTGGGTGTACATTTCATTGCCCAATCTAGCTTCAAAGAAAGCTGGAAATTATAGTCCTGTAACTGAGTCTGTTGCCAAAAATAAAATTGAGGATCTCTTAGTAAGGAAGAGAAGGAGAATTGTTATTAGTGGGCATTATCTGTCATAGTAACCATTTGGATGATGATAATATGGCCGTCTTCATTTACTAAGGAAAAAAAACTAAGGTTTAGAGATATCATTTAGCTTTTAATTGGAGTCAGGATTTGAATRTAAGTTTACATAACTCTAAAGCCCCTCCTTTTAAATTTTTCATTATCTATTTCTGAATTGCCCTGTAATTCATTGGAGTCACAGTTTTTTGAGAATAACAATTATTTGATAGAAATAAAGGTAATTTGTAAAGTAACTTTTGAAACATTTTAAGGAGTATTAACTATGATTGAGGATTTTGTTGTTGCTTATGGGGGTCTGAATTATATCTGCCTTATCAGTATGGTTCAATTTAAGAAAATTGATACAATTTTTAAAAAAGTAAAATGTAAGRAAACAATAAAAAGAACCAATAATTGAAGTTTTCCCCTTTTAACCAGAACTGTTTACATATTTTTGTTTATATAGTTTATTGTTGAGTATTTGAACTCTTCCAACATTGTGAAAGACTATTGTCCTTATAAAAATGTTGAAAAGAAGCCTAAAGTTTCTTTAGGGATGCAACTTGATAGAGCCTTAACTGAAAAACACCTCACAGTTCTCTACAATTTTTAATTCATTAAATAAAAACAAAGGTTCTTCTTGAATTGAGCATATTGACCAGTAACCAGTGT